TCAAATACACAAAACTCAATCTTCCAACCAAAACTAATAATCATATTAATTATTTTTCCTATAGGCAGACCGCTCAGTTTTGATCAAATAGAAAACCTTCACCTAAATTAGAGATTCACTGCCAAGCACGGAGTCGAGACAGATTGAACATGAAAAATTTCCAAAGAACAACAATCAGAGGATAAAAACACTACTTGCAATGGAATCAATTGGATTGTGTTGTTCTGCTTTATAAAACATGGCGCCATCCCATACATTACATCAAAATTTTGCTTGATTAGCACTGTTTAAGAGAGAGAGTGATGCCTTAACCCGTGAAGAAGCAGAATCAAACACCAACACATGCCAAGCAGTTAGATTTAGATAACGATAACAGAAAAATAAATAAAAAGGGACATTAAAAATATATTCAAAAGACAATAGATTTCTTAAATTTACACTCGACCTACAATAATGCAACCAGACATAAACTTGAAGCTCTCCGATGGCCATTGCTAGGAAAAAATGTACCAGCAAGACCAGTCAATAAAGGAGATACCTCTCTCTTAATCATATTAACATGATACAAATTCTAAATTGACACCTAATTGCTCTGTATCACCTCTACAAATGTCAAAAATTTCATTGTAGAGACTACTAGAGCACTAAAAAGGCCTACATGACAAAAGAAAAGATAGTTGACCTAAGAAAATACAAGAAAATTACATGATAGTAGTTCTTTACAGTTCCCTGATGGCTTCCCAATCAATTTCCACTGAAGGGTACTTTTCCAAACTGAAGTTTTCATTGTCTTCCCACTTTGAATCAGAGAAATCCAACAAAGTGATGTCAGATTCTGGTGAACAAGATCCTGCCAATGACTCATCGGATAAATCCGGGGATGACAGTAAATTCTCCACTTTAGGATCAGAAAATCTTGGAGACAGATCAAACTCCTCACTCTTCACAGGGTAATCAAACTCAACCTTAGGCTGTGAAGGAGCAACAATATTAGGTTTTGAATCGGAGACAGAACAGGTCTTTCCTGAATTCCCTTGTTTCTGCAAGCTCTGGCAGATGGCTTGTAGCTTTGCATCCACCGAGGAATGGAGAGGCTTGTAGTCACCAAATTCTCCAGAAATATGGGCTCCTTGGTGTTTAAGGTGGGGGAAATTGAGCTTGGCAAACTCTCCTCTAAGCTTATAAGCAGCCTTGTCATAAGCCAAAGCTGCTTCTTCTGCCGTATCAAAAGTGCCAAGCCAAAGGCGGCTTCGGTTCTTGGGGAGTCTGATTTCAGCTACCCATTTGCCCCAGTGCCTCTGTCTCACTCCCCTGTAAAGTTTTGTAGGCTTTGGAGGGTTGGGGAGGCATGTTTCATAGGACAGCTTTTGGGAAAGAAAGTTAAGCCTTTGGTTTTGAAGGGATGTTGTGGGTAGCCATAGAAGCAAGCTGCTGCTGCTTGCTGCTGCTGCTGTCTGTTGGTGGATTTGAGCTTGAATTTGGAGGATTTGAGAAGGGGTGAGTTGGTTAAGCCCAATTGAACCTGTTCGCTCAAAACCCATCGGGTTGTTATAGTTAGAGAACTCATGATTAGGAAACAAGTGGGTGCTCGATGGGGAGCAAAGTTCAGGAAACAAGTTAGGCTCTGAAGGAGAAGTGAGTTGCGAATAGTAACAAGAAGGGTAAGAAGAAAAAGAAGTTGGGGAAGAAGAAGAAGATAAAGGAGAGGCAGATGAAGCACTTTTCATAAAAGGTTCAAGTGCTTTCATTAGCTCTTCTCTAAAAGGATCTGAGAAAACTGAGCTGCTACTGCTATTATACATATCTATAGCTGCAGCCATATCCAAAAAACTAGCAAAAATTATTCTTAAAACAACCTGTTTCTTAACCAAGACTAAGAACAGGCAATAGTTTGATAAAAACCAACCTTGAGGACCAAAAATAAACCCTCTTAGCCGACGAAAATAAAGATTAAAACTTTGTAATGAAAAAAAAAAAAAAAAAACACAAAAGAGAAACCTGAATCTCTCTTCTGGATCACCTGGCTTTCAAAAAAAAATGAAAAAAAAAAAAAAAAACCCTGGTAGGCAAGGCTTTTTAGTTTTTGAGACCAATTTTTCAGCTTGAAAGACAGACGATGACAGAAAGGATTCAGAGAAGCGGGGAATTATGAAAAAAAAAAGGGGCATTGAGAAGAAACTCAAATGATCAGACACTGTTGGAAAACCTGGAAACTCTCTCAAAATATTTTTTTGTTGACTCACTTTAGTGTTTTCTCTCTTGCATTTCCAGGCTCACCTCATCTATACTTATATAACCCTCTATCCATGTTTACTCTCTCTGTCAAATAGTTAGATTTTTAACATTTTTAATTAATTTTATTAATAATCACTTAGTCACTAAATGAAAACTATTAATTAAACTTATCACCCTCCTCGTCAACTTCAAAGATGTCTTTATTCGATGAGGGGGACGGACGAGGCTTCCCGGAATTTGCCATTTACTTGACAGTTAATTGGCAGGTCTCTGTTTGCAAAGGGTCACTTTACACGTGTGAAGTTGCCATTGGGTCGTAGATTTTGTTGACTTTGAAAGAAATGAGCTCCTTGTTATTTAATGGATCAAATATTTCTCATGATTATTACGAACTTTTGGGCAATGATTTCATGTTTCTGATAGCACCATACTTTCAAATTTGAGAGCAAAATGAACCCTAAATTTTGAATAAAATGAAAAACAAAAGTTTAGAGATTTTTGCAATTAGATTATTTTATATATTTTTAACTTTAAAGATAAACAATTAGTTTTTTTAATTTACAATTTTGGTAGTAATTATCTTCTAATTTCTTTTTTATATAAATATTCTAATTTTTTTTTTTTACATAAATATTCTAATTTCTTTCATATTTGAGCATTTTAAGAAAACGTGACTTTGACCGCGCGGCAGGCTGAGAGAGAAAGAGATGATTACGCAAATGGCATTGGATTCTTGAGATTGTGAAAGTTTGGAAAGTAGAAGGCCAATTTGGTTAGCTTCATGCCTTTCATCACACATTTCCGTGGATCACTTTCTTTTTAATCTTTTTGTTCTTGTTAATAACTAACCTTGGTTTGTGTCGGCTGCGTTAAATGAAATGATTAATGTAAATATTCCAAAATCTGATTGTTCCATTATTTCGGTAAAAAAAAAAATTCGTTTCAATATCATTTGTGGTAAGTAATTGGATAATCAAACAAAATAAGCATTAACATTATCCAATGGAATATTATATGTTTTAATTAAGGAAAGAAGGTGTTTAGATTGGTTTAGTTTTATGTTTTGAAATAATAACTTTTAATAGTTAAATTAAGTATGTATTGAAAAATCAAATAAAACTTTAAAAATAATGATTAAAATCACAAACACAATGCTATTAACAAGGCATCTTTTGTTATGATGTATTGAATGGGATTGTTTTATAATATTATGAGATAAAATATCATAGTTATAAATTATAAAATCGGATTGGCAAATGATTATGATAATAATCTATTCAAATTTATTCATAAATATTAAAAACGATTCTAATTATATATGTAATGAAAAATATCTGGCATTACATTTCAAGCTACAATTTTTCATTTAACATTTGTTTTAAATTGCCATTTTATTTTTTGTTGTGACAATAATGGAGATTTATATTATTATTGCAATTTATAAACGCATGAATGAAATTAATGAAAAATGAGAGTGAAAAAAACAATTCCAACCTGATATTTGAGGAGGTCAAACGAGTGAATGGGTGTGTATAAGTTAATCATGGTTAAGAAAAAAAATCAAAACATTAAAAATTAAAAAAAAATTAAATCTCGACACATTAATTTTAAAAAATAAAATTTAATAAATTTATAATTTAAATATCATACTTATATCTTTTAAAAAAAAACTTATCAGCACTTATAATTTTTTTATCATAATCTAAAATTGAAATATCTATATCAATGATTTTTGTATTTTTAATTTATGAGTTATCTCATAAAAATTCTAAAATTGAGGATGAAGGAAAAGAATCCCAAATTCCAATTCCGAACATTGTTTTGGCAAAAAAAGAGAAAAAATATGATAAAACACATTGAAATATTAATTTCGGTGGGGTGGCATTAGTACAGCATGGCACCTACTTTGACGCAGTCACGTCGTTTCTAGTGGACATCACTTTCAAGCACGCGATGAACCTCTATCCTCGCCCTCTCCCGCTTCTTAATTTTATTTCTTCAGTAGCTTTAACTCCATTTGTTACCTTCATTTCAATATTTTAATTTAATCATTATTATGTGTATAAATGTACAAATTTATAATGGGCGTTATACATACGAAAATTAAGTGAATGATTAATAGTGCATGTAAAATAAATAAAAATAGAAGAAATTAAAATTACTTCCCATTACTTTTTTTTTTAATGTTACTTCAATTACTTTAATAAATATGACCTCAATGATATCGTAGTCGTTTTAATATTAAAAACCACAAATTTGAATTTCAATCATAATTTAAAAAATAAAAAATTATAAACATGAATCATATTCATTTTATTTTATGTTACTTAATATCAATAAAATCAAAGAGTTGATTCAATTGATAATTGGTACGTTAATTGATTTTATATTTGAGTATTATTAAAATAAAATTTGTTAATGAAAAATAATTAATTTAAAATTAGTATTATTAAAAAATTACAAATTAAAGTGTTTAGTTAGTTCATATAATAATTTTTAAGAGATGATATCTAACATATTTAAAACTCAAATTTTAATATTTATAATTTTTTTTCTATTCCAATAAATTGAACTTAAAATTGTTCATTGATATGTCATGAAGTTAGCAAGACTTAAGTATTAAGTGAACTCCTCTTGACATTAAAGGTTAATGAACCTTTAATCATTTAAAAACAGCTCATCGAAACTTAGATAGGACCACCTTTCTTTCACTAGTTTTTATATTTGTGGGTTTCTTCTTATTTTGGTGTTGAAAGCAATTTTGGGCTCAAATTAGAAAACTCATGAAGAATAATAGATTAACAAAATTAATCCGAAAAGCAAAATCTTGAAGTTTTGGGAATGCCTTGAAAGACTTGAAAACCAGTTCATGCATGAAAAAGACGGCTGCCCTTGCTTGGACTACAGTACATTTTGGCTTTTGCTTTATATTTTACATCACTTCTCATTTCATCTTAGCCCTTCGAAGCTCTTGAGAATCATTTTTCCTTTTAATAGTGTACTTTTCTTTCCTGTCTTTGGATTAAAGGGGCATTTTCCATTTGTTTTCCCTCGTTAAACCAAACCTTCTTTTTGGATTGACACTCAACCTCATTAGTTAATGTGAGCTTCTTTTGAAATTAAATATATATAATTTTTTTTTCCTAACTATTTGGAAACTAGGAGTTAGTGAAATGATCTTGTTTACTTGAATGTTTATGAATCTTGTTTGTTCTCTTTTTCCCTTTTGAATGTTAATGAATCATGCATGAGGTAACCTAGCTTTATTCTACATAAAATTTTCAAATAATTTTGTAGTGATTTAGACCAATAATCTAAACCATCGATGCAGCGGAATACAATCAAAACGAGCAAATCAAAAATTAAACCGGTCAAATCCAAGGCAACGGACAATAAAAAAAAATAAACTCAAAATTAGAAAATAAACCATAAAAAAAAAACACCAACAATATATGTGGTTTGGGAACCAATTCTCTACGTCCATAAGCACAACAAAAAAGAAATACTTTTATCAAAGATCTTATGCCAAAGGTAACGCTTAATCCAAAACCCACTTACAATTAATCTTTTATCTTTAGTCACTCACCAAAGATTATTAGTCTATTTCCTCACATTTTAATGGTGGCTACTCAACCAAGTCCCAAAAAGAATTCTTTATACTAATTTTAGACAAACTTTAGAATTAATGTTGGACCTACAAACGAATGACACTAAATGGACTTATGAATTAAGACACAAACCCAATAATATAATTAAATTTGGGGCTTTTCTAAACTTGGCTGTTTCAATAAAAAAAAAAAAAGCAATATACAATAAGAGAATGGCCGTTGATGAACAGGTAACTACTTTTTCAAGAAAATATATGTTCAATCACTCATATTTCTTTGTTTAATTGATGCTATACTTAAGTAGAAAAAAACCAAAAAAGAGAGACTAAATAAGTGGCTTATTGGCTTTTGAGGGGGCAGAGCACGTGCCTCTTCATGTTATTTATTTGGAGTTTATAACTTCATGTGCCTTTCGAGCTAATCCTTTATCTCCCAAAAATAATTGTTCGTTTTCATAGTTTTTCTTTAAAAAAATCTACTTATGAAATTTGAATCCAAAAATCACTTGTTATGAAAATGAAATGATGTAAAAATTGTCTAAAAATTATAGAAACTCAACACTCAATTTATTAGATATTGTTAATTTTGATTCAAAATTTTATAATTTTATATCGTAAAAAACACTTTATAAATATGAATTTAAATATCAATTTATATATCATAACTACTTTTTAAAATATCCTTATATGAAATTGGATTGTTACATGTACCTAATGCGTTTCACATTTTTTCTCTATCTTTTTAACATATTGGTTGTATTATTACATATCTTGCTTTTCTTAAGACTTGTAGTTTGTAGAAGCCTATAGGCTATAACCCAACATACCCATTCAGATCTTCTAGAATATGTCTTTCTAACTGATGCTTACTCTTGAGTTTTTAACCTCTTCTTTCAGGTGCAATTGTTGCCCAAAAAAAAAAAAAGCAAGATAAGAAAAATACCCGCTGCTTCTATTTGGTTTGATGTTATTGCCCAT